GACTTGAAAACTGGAGAGGATATATGTTACAAATATTTTTGTGTCCTCAGAGGACCATTAAAACTATTTAGCTATCTTTTCCTAAGTCTGTGGCCGAACTGCTTAAGCTTGTATATGTGGAAAGAGAAAGAAGGTTTATAATTTTCCCTGAAGAAAGAGAAAGACTTAGCCATTACTGTGTATGCTTTAATTCCTTGAGACAGTCCTTCTTCTTCTAACTTAGAATCATTATGAAGGGATGAAAGGGAAGAGCTGAATTGGCCAAATACACAAACTACATTTCTCTAACAAAATTACTCCTTTTTGCTATTTCAGGATTACTAGTTGCCGCCTGAGCTACAGTGTCACTATTTTTCCAAAGGAAACAAGCATGAATTAAATTTCATTCATTTCTTAATTCTGCCTATGGCTTAAACCTGATAATTGGCTCTATTAAAGCAAGCTGATTAGAGTAAATTTCATTTTTGTGAAGAACAACAGAAACAAGAAAATTCTTCAAAATGTAGTCTTCAGAATCACTTGGGGGCTGTGGCTTTTACCCAATGAAATATGGAGGCCTTAAGCATTTCTGTTGTATACCAGATGTCTCTTAATTTTCTATGACCCATTTTAATCCATGTTACTAACAGCAGCTTTTGGAAAACCATTTTAAAAACCTGCCTTCTCTCCTGAAATTCATAAATGAGTGCATTTGGTAGAAAATCCCTTAGGATTGTGCATGGCTGTGGTTAACGAGCTTAAATGGTCAGTTCATCAGTTAACCAAGATTTTGTCTTCCTTCCATCTAGAATGGAATTCCTGTTAACAGCAGCCAGAGTACAATAGTCTCTTTACAACAAATCTACCAGATGAGTTTGAGCACACAACTGCTCTTAATTGTAATAACATCTAAGCATTCGGAAGACGGTTCTAAAAATCATAGCTATTGCTCTTAATCCTACTGCTACTATAACTGAAATAAAATAAGACAACTGCCCTGTATCATGGAGTCAATCTGTTTGTTTCCCATTTTTTTAACATAGAGATTACTGCGACTGAGAGAAAAACGTACTGAGAAACTGGAAGGTAAAATCAATAACTGATCACTTGCATATATTGTTTTTAAGATTCCAGGTCTAAAGGGAAGAAGTCAGGAGGTGGATTCTGATGTGCTTATGTATATATCTTGACAGTGCTAGTGAAAACATTCTTCTAATCTGTTCCTTTATGTGGTATTTCTGTTTTAGGGAGAGGAAACAGAGACACAAGTGAGTTAAACTCACAGAACACATCAGTGGCAGACATGAAAAGGAATCCAGCATGCTTATTTCCACCTCCACTGGGCCATACTGTTTCTCATACAGACTGAGCGCTCATTTCTAATTGGCACTATTTTGGTGAGCTAGTGAACTAAGCTATTTCTTTGACTGATTCAGGATTTAGATACTGGCATAGAGCATATGTGCTGAGTCACAAGCTTTTGAGTGCTGGATTCTGCTCACCAAGGACATTCCTCATAATTCACCTTGATGAAAAAATGTAATGCCTATACTGTATTTCCTATTCATTTTTCATTGTTGATTACTTTTGCTCATTATTTTTCTGATTAGATTACTTCATGATGAGTCACATCTAATTTTAAGACAGTACAAGGAGAACAGTCACATAATCTTATTCCAGGGGACACTCAGGCTAAAAAAGTAGATGACATGAGCAAGCTAAATTCTGCTCAAATTACACAGACAGATTTATCCATTTGAATAGGATAGGAAGCTTCTTCAAGCTGCTTAGCTTTCTGTCTTCAACCTCTGCCACCAATTTAATCGTGACTGTTATGCTTAGAAACCTGGCCATAATTTTGCTTCTATTGAGTTTCTTTATTCAGCTGAGGTTTTTGGTGCAAGAGAGAACAGAATTCTTCTGATCCGTATCATCTTCTACTTTTATATCTAAATAAGCCTTTCTACATTTTGCAAAATCAACTCAAGGGATTTCCTCCCTTTCTCAGTTCAAGCATGCCACTCAGCTTCTGGGTGGAAGGCATCCCTTGCTAATGCAAAGAAGATACTGCAGGATTTCAGCTCAGGCTAATCATAGCTTTTTGGTTGTTCTCCACAGTCACTGGTGAGTCACATGAAGAACACTCTTATACTTCATGCAAAAGAATAATACCTATACACTTTTCAGCTCTGCTGGTAAAACTGAGATCTACTCTTCCTGCAGAGTCTTGTGAATCCTCAGTACTTCTGGCCTAGGCAAGCAGGGCAGATAGATAGACACCCTTCCTCAGCCCAGGGTAGAATAGGTTAACCCCTATACAGAACTCAGGTCACTTAAAGACTAGCTACCCAGGGGATTTAATCTTCCCTTCCAATGCCTCATTTCTGCTCCCAAAACAGAATCCACAGCTCTGAATTAAGGATCTCCTTTTCTGCGTGCATTTCTAGGGAACCGGTGAAGATGAATGCCACAGAACAGTACAGAACTCTGTAAATTACAGGCTATTAACATAAATTCCTTTTCACGGAGACATGCAGAGTCTTTGCCTGGAAGTTGAATAATTATGGAATTTGTGGCCTGGTTGTTGACTATACAAATATACTTGAATATATAAACAGATGAAGTACTCTAATGGTATCTTTTTTTGGTCTCTGATAATTGATCTAATTTTAAGGACTTGTGAGCTGATTATCAATGGAAACAACAGCCTACCATGACAACTTTCAAATTACAGTTTCAGAGCTGCAGGTGGTACTTGTGCAGAGCAACACTGGCTCCAGTGGGAGTATGCACTTCTAAGCTTTGTGAAGACCTGTGCTTTTCAATTTCTACATTTGTGAAGACTTCTGCATTTTGCTTTCTACATATAGAGGTGACATGGTCTTAGAGTGAAAACATCAAATAGTTTGCAAAGCTTCTTATCCTATTGAAATGAAGGGAAATTGTAAAAAGCCCATTTATGTAAACTGAACAGGATTGAGCTCAGCTCCTATGCTCTGCTAAACTATGTGTTTATGTAATAGGAAAAATCCACTGGAGAAACATAGCATGACTGTTTCTCTCCTTGGGTCTTCCTGCAAATTAGATGCAATTCATCTTGACAAATTCTAGTCAGCAAAAAATTGAGAAGAAAAATAAAGCATTTTTTAAAATCCCTGTAAGAGTGTTGAAGTAATAATATCTGGATTCTGGGAAGAGGTATTTGGGGGAGGGGGGTTAGGCCTTTTTGCACACTCACCAAAGATTTTGTTAAAATTTTCATTAATTATTATGAATTTATTTCCTGGAAGACAGGGAATATGGATTTGAAGGTGACTGACAAAGGCTTTTGGGTTTCCTACGTTCTGAGCACATATGCTGTTGGCTGAAATTAAAACGGATAGAAGGAGGAGACATTCACAAAAGTAGCCAACAGTGTTTTGTGGGGAGTTCAGTTCTGTTCCAAACCTTCTGTGCTAGCAGAAGTGGTAGTAGTAGCAATGGAGTTTTTTGTGACAGACCACTAAATGTTTGTATGAACACTTTCATTTGCTGTAACTACATGCTTTTACTATTTTTCTTTTTTACTTCTGTGGTAACACAACTGTTCCCCCTCCCCCTACCTCTTATGCTCCCACATGCCTTCAGTCAAGCTCTGCTCAGTTGTGTGTATGTATGCAAACAGAGGGAGTAATACCAATATTACTCCAATAACATCAGTTTCCATTTTATACCTTCTAAACTATTGAACAAAATCTGCTCCCATTTTTTATTTGGGACCTGAGTAGAAATTTCTAAGGATATAATTTTAACCTGTATGAAGGAGAGCGCTATAGGAAAGGTAGTTGTTTAAATTAGAAGACTGACTAAAATAGCTTGATATTAAATGGTATTTGTCTAATATGTCCAAAGAAGATATATTTTCAACTTTACAAGAGAATTTCATGCTTCTGTATTTTCAAATAGAAAATACAACAGTATCCTGAATTTGTTTTCAAATTTACAGCCAATATTTTGCTGAAAATTCTACTGAGAGATTTGTTAACATATGTTAAACTGTGAATGTTTTGATTAACATATGTTTGGCACAGAGAGTCCTACCTGGAAATTGTGATTCTCTTCCCAGTTGCATTTCAACATTCTAAAATGCTAAATCCTTAAAACATTTTCAGAGTTTTAGTGTAACTCAGAACTATAACAAACCCTCATGCTGTGATTAATATGAATTAATATAAGAAGAATGGTGAATTGTGTAGGTTTATTATTATCCAGGATACAGTTTTTAAAGGCATCTATTTAAGATATATTTCTGGCTAGAGTATGATTTGTGAATTTTTTTGACAAGTATTACCCTGAATTATCATTTAGATTCAGAGCCAGGACACTTTTAAGACCTGTTTAGTAATGTTGTTGACCAACTGTAAACATAATACCTAGCTGTAAGAGCTGCAGTGGCTCAGTACTGTGAAAATAACTCCCAAGGGAAAAACATTATATTCACTCTGCAGCAGAGGACAACAGACGGCAGCTCCGACTGCCTTCCGCACTCTGTCCGACTGCCTTCCGCACTGTGTCACCGGGGCCAGATGGGAGGAAGGGCCCGGACCGGCTCGGGGAGGCATGCGCCGGGGGGCTCCCGGCGGGCACTCCGGGGGCTCCCGGAAGCTGCTCAGGGAGCTGCGGAATTGTGCTCTGAAGCCAGCCCGGGAACAGCCACCTGCCTGCACTAAAGCTTGCACTGCACACTAAAGCTTGTCCATGCTAAAAGATCAGGGCAGGGTCTGGTCCCGTGCGCTGCGCCCAGTCCCCACTGCCCCCAT